TGTGTGTCTGTAAAAGCATTTTTAGCACTTTGGGGGTGATTTGGCTTTTAAAAATTTGCCTTCGAGGATGAAGGCTCCAGGGTAATTGTAATCTGGCCCTTCTAAATCCTTCTTTCCCAGAGAGAGGCACATTTCTAGATGATTAGAGAACTTCAGGTGGGAACGTTACTCTGCCTCTGGCTTTATGCCTTAAAATATGACCTAAGGCGAGCTATCATTTCCCAGAAATGAAATATGTCATATGTTACTATTAAAGTGAACCAGAAAAAGAGCATTCTATTACAATAATGGGTTTTGTTTTAAAAAAATATGTAAATGTCAAATCCCCAAAGGAATAATACATATTTGATACTATTATTGGAACAGCAATACCAGTAATTGCATGAAGTGCTTATATTTAGTATGATTCGTATAGTGAAGGAATTTTATGTAAACCTTTCAGTAGAATTATTGTGTCAGAGGAAAATGAGAAACAATATCACTTATTATTCATGCAATCAATATTCATTTATTGGAGGTGACTGTGTGTCAGTCATCAGTCTAAATGCTTTGGATGCGGAAAAAGAAGAAGGAGGAAGAAGAGGAGGAGGAGGAGGAGGAGAATAGAGCATCTTCCTACCTTCAAGGAACTCACATTCCAATTCAAGAGACAGGTATAACAATTAACAATACAGCAATATATAGGCATAGCAACAGGTATAGCAATGCATATCACAATAGCAATATTAAGAATCCCAACCATGCCATGAGAACACACTACTGAGAACTATTCAGTCTGGCTGAAGGACTCCTTGCTATTCTTAGTGGCCTGTTGGAGCTGAGCTGCATCTTAAAATTTCAGGATGGAGCACACATTGGGCAGGTGCAACAGCATGGTCAAAGGTGTAGCATCAGCAAATAATAACAACAATAATAAGGGTAGCGGTAGTAGTAATAGTAGTAGTAATAATAAATAAAAGCATGGCCCATTTAGAGAATAGTGAGTGGTTTGCATAGCTAGAGGGTAAGTCTGTCAAACTGCCTAATGTCAAATACTTTGATGGACTAGTTTGAGTTAGAGAAACTCGAGTGATTTTACAGCAGTATAATTTTACAAAATGAATGTGTTTTACGTTATACTCTATAGGGCCCAGGCAATGAGAGTAGGAGACAAAATGTTGCACGGAATAAAACTGTCGTTCTCCCCATGACTCATATGTTAACTTATGAAAATACACTTACATGAAGAAATGCAAGAAAATTGCTCATTTCACATGCTTATGGGTAGATTGAACCTAATTTTGTAGCATTAAAGCCAATTTCCCACTGAGAAAACATGTCACAGAGGATGGCATGAACCTTTATCATTATTAATAATATTTGATATTTCGATGTCACCTTTCATCCTGAGATCAGTCCTGTACACATAAGAACAGATAAGCTCCAAGGAAACAGAGATAATATTGATACAATAAGTCACATGCGTTTCTAGCTTCCATATTCCAAGGGCTTTCCAGTTGTGCGTTTGTCTCATCTCTAAAAGTTAGTGGATATAGTTGTAAAGCAGTAATTTTTTGTTAACTTGTTATACACAAAGTCTTAAGGTAGAGTAAGGGCCGCATCCTTTCACACACAGCTTTCCTTGGAAGATCAGTTTTTGACATATCCATTCTCCTTTCTTTGGCTTCTTTGCTTGATGATCTCCATTCTGAGTGGAGGAGACACCAGCAGTGAGCTGGTCTTCATGGATTCTCTGCCTTCTCCAAAAAACTAGCAAGTCATCATAATCAACAACTACTATTACTGTTCCTTATAAAGCACTCATTTCAGGTCCGACTTATTCTACTGTTCTAAGGTGATATACATCACCTTAACTATTTTCACACCAACTGTGCAGTAGAACTTTCTGTGATGATGGAGATCCCTTGAATATGTGCTGTGCAATGAGGTAGCCACTAGCCATAGGCAGCTACTGAGCACTTGAAATGTGGCTAGTGCTACTGGAAAAAGGCATTTTTCTTTCATTTAATTTTAATTATTTTTTATGGAAATAGCCATATGGCTAGTGACTATTGTATTGGACAACACATAGTGACTGGTGGTTTATTTTTTAGAGAAAATAAAGCTCTGTTCCCATCATCAGTAAGGACTTAGTGAGGACTACTGCGAGTGAATGGTTCAAAAATATTAAAGCTACAAATATTTTAAAAGAAGTCCCATATTTTACATTTGGGGAATTTTTATTCCACCCTTCCTCCATCCCATTAAAATTTCATTTAAAACATGTCTGTGGAACATGAGAGAGGCATAGAATCATTTCTAAACAAAGAACACTTACAAGAGATGTGGGTGATATCCTTAAATGAAACCTCGTTGTCATCCAGTCATCCCATGTGGTCAGCAATGATGGAAACTCGGCTATCTGTTGAGAGCTGGAATTCTAATTACTGGTTTCCCAAAGGGAGATATTCACCTCTACTTATAAAATGGGATGACGAAAGAGGGTTTTAAGTTTTGGGTGTCCATGTGTGAAACACGGTCTTCCGATAGACTCTTAATTCACTTTGAGCCCCCCTTGCTAAAACCACCTTCCCGGGATTTATCTGGTTTGTGTGTGAAAATATGAGAATAAACTTAAGGTGAAGAAATTGATTGGGAGACTCAATGACGTTTCGCTTAGTCCGCTCAGTAACTTACACCATTACCACTGTTCGAGAAAGAGAACTAAGTATCCCTTGGTTTGAACCATCTGTCGCGAAAATGTGACATATGTTTGCTTTGTTTACTCAACAACCAAGTGTAAACTGATACACTGAACAAGAAATCCGTGTATAGTGTGACTCTGAGTGTGTGTGTGTGTGTGTGTGTGCGAGCCCCCCCCCGCGCCTGTTTACACACACACACACACACACACACACACACACACACACACACACACACACACGTTTTGAGGAGGGTGCTCCCTGAGGGCGTCAATCCTCTCATACCTATCCCTGAGGAACACGTGCATAAGCGTGCAGATCTGAGGGGTGTCCCCTGGGCCTTGGGCGCGTGAGGAGGCGCAAACACCACTCCCCTACCCCCAAACAATGCGCAGCAAGCATCTGAGCGGCTACCGCTGCCCGGGGCGCGCCTGGCTGGTGTGGGGCTGAATGGAGAGATACCCACCCTCTCCTCTCTCCTCCTTGTCTCTCGGCCCTTAGTCCCCCGTCTCAAACTTTACCCAGAGCCTGTGCCCTTTTCAATTAACACCCCCCCGCCCCCCGCCTTAATCAAAAGGATCGTTTCTTTTCTCTCCTCCGCGGTCCATTGTCTGGTGCAATGGGTTTGCAGATTTGACAGCTGAGCTCACCCAGACTCTATTCAAACTCGGTTTCCATAAACGATGAACTTGGATATCAGCAAATATCGGGAACCCAAGCCCTGAGCTGTGGGCTGTTCCATAGACTCCGCTCGGAACCCAGAGTAGACTTCGTTGTCCCGGGCGCCCCCCGGTGTTCGGGGAGAGGAGTGTATGTTCCGGGCGGGGTAGGGGGGTTCAGTAGCATGGCTGAGAACGAGTGGACCCAGAAATTGGGGGGAAAGGCTGTGTATATGTTGGGTTTTTAAATTTATGATCTTAAAATTTACTCTTGAAGCAGCCAAGATGGAGGTCAGCTTATGAATTTCCCAAAGCCAGGTCTGGCGCGGTTTAAATGCAGTGGCCGGGGGTTCTGCTTTTGTCTCCTTGCCTAAGCTCCAGGAAAGAGAGAGAGAGAGAGAGAGAGAGAGGCTGCGTGTGCATATGAGTGCGTGCGCGCTGGCGTGGATCGGTGCGTGGGCACATCTTGCGATCTCGGCTCCGAGGGTCTGGGTCTGAGTTTAACGCGCCAAGTCTTGAGTCATAGCCGCGAGTGACGTGGGGAGAAACTTTGTGTTCGGAAGAAAGGTCTGATTCGATTGCACTAGGACGGAAGAAAGAAAGAGCCCTTGTGCATTGTGCCCTTTTGCGTCTGTGTGTGTGTGTGTGTGTGTGTGTCTGCGAGGGGAGGGGAGAGGGAGAGAGAGTGAGGGAGGGAGAGAGAGAGAGAGAGAGAGAGAGAGAGAGAGAGAGAGAGAGAGTGTCTGGCAGCACTCGCGGGCGGCTGCGTAGCCCTGCGTGTCCTGTGCGCGCGTGCTGGGTCCGGCTCCGAGTCCCGCCGCGGACGAGTGTGTTCATCTGCGGCGTCCGTGCGTGCGAGCCTCAGAGGGGGCTGGCGGGTGTGCTATAGGGCGGCGGGAGCAGGAGCAGGCCGAGGGTCCTCAGGCAAAGAAATCTGGCCTCGGAACCCGCTAGCCTCCGCTCAGCTTCCAATATCCCAACCGGCAGCCGAGAGCCGGGGGGGACTCTGCTCGGAAATCGTCCTGGCCCAACTCAGCCCCTCTGAGCTCTCGAAGATTACCGCATCTTCTTCCTAACGCAGAGAAGTGAGCCCGGAAAGGGAAGGAAGGGGCGGGGACACCCCCCAAAATAAATAAATAAATAAACAAACTGGCTCCTCGACACAGCTGGACACGGTCGGTTGAGTCCAGGTTGGTGGCATTTGGAGAGTTTTCTCGTTCTGTGGATTTGGGAGCCCATCGCCGCCCCCCCCCCGCCCTCTTCTCCCCTCTTGCAGGCGCCCCTCAACTTTGGGGTCCGGGGGCGCGCGCGGCTCGGGGCTGCACCTGCCCTGGCGCTCGGGGGCTGCCGGCCAGTGCGCTCGCCCCGGGCGGTGGCGTTGATGAGCCCTAGTCCCGGGCGCCGGGCGAGACTTCGGGCGGCGCAGACACCCGGGAGGGAGCGGAAGACCCACGGCGGGTAGGGGCGCGCGAGCCGGGTTTCGGCCCTAGCCCGGACGTCGGTTCCCGGTTGCCCCGCTGCCTGAGAAAAGAGGCGAGCCCGGGGAGGAGCGGGAGACGGCGACCGGGGGCAGCGATTGGTGGTTTGGGTGAAGAGGCCGGCAGCGGAGCGAGCGAGCTGGCTGGAGGAGGGGGCGGTGAACTTCCAGGGAGAAGGGGCTCTTTCTGCGCCAGGGCTGGAGAAAGAGCTGCCGCCGCCGTGTGCTTCGACTCCGGCAGCTGCTGGCTGCGCTCGCAGCGCTCGGAAAGTAACGTTATTTATTTATTTGCTTGCGTTCAGCCTCTTGGGTTGGACCCGATAGACACTCCTTGGACTTTGGGAGCTGGCGTCCGACCTCTCCAGCCCCTACCCTGCCCTTGCGGGCGGCTCCCCGGAATACACGGAATACATACCCGCCCCCCCCCGTGTCCCCTCCTGCGCCCCGGCCCTGTTAGGGGTGGGCCCTCACCCGGGCGCTAGAAAGTCCCCCAAGGCGGGAGCAGGGGAGGGCAGAGGGGCGGAGGAGGTTCCAGCGCTCTCGGCTCTCATTTCAAAGCGCGCTCTCCCTTCCAGGTTGGGTCAGACCTGAACCCCTAAAAGCGGAACCGCCTCCCACCCTCGCGCCGGCCGCCCGCGGGGAGCTGAGTCGCCGGCGGCGGTGGTGGCGGACGGACCCGGGAGTTTCCTCTCGCACTGGATGGAGCTGAACTTTGGGCGGCCAGAGCAGCGCGGCCGTCCGGGGATTGCTGTATGCTGAGCTCCCTCGTCGATACCCAGCCGCGGCTCGGGATTTTTTGGGGGCGGGGACCAGCTGCGCGCCGGCACCATGTTCCTGGCGACCTTGTACTTTGCGCTGCCGCTCCTGGGTAAGTCGAGGCCGCCGCTAGCTTCCTAACCCGCTGAGTCTTTCCGAGGGGATACTCGGGGCAGCCCCCAACCCCCCAACTGCAGCGCGGTTGCGTGGGTGTGGGAGGGCGAAGTTTCGTTTTGGGGAAGGGGATCTTGAATCATCAGCACCCTGGGCTTGGGAGGCGGTGATGCGCGGCACTTGCCCGCAGCTTTTTGTGCTTGGTTTTAATTTTCTGTGCTTTGTAATGGCCAATCCTGGCGGAGAGTTAAGGGGTCCGAGCCCCTCCAGCTCCGGGACCAGCGCTCCTTGCGAGTCCTGGGAGCTCTCGGAGGAGCAGCGGGCAGGTGGGGGTGCGGGCGAGCACTGGACCGGGAGAGCAAACTTCGAAGGGAAAACTTTTCCTCGAACAGTGTCTGAGCGTTCTCCGCCCGGCGGGCCGCGGACCAGGGCTCGCCCTCCCCGCGCCCCGCGCCGGGCCCGGCCCGCAGTGGCCCTCTTCTTCGGAAAGCCCCCGGCTTCCGTCGGGCGGGGCCGAGCCAGCGGCTCCGGGAGACCGAGCAGCTGCTCCGGCCGGGCTGCTCCGGGAGCGGTGGGGCGGGCACGCGCGGCGGGCAGCGCGCGCTCGGGGGCAACCCGCAAAGCCACGCCGGGCGGAGGTTGGCGTTGCGGGGAGCGCCGGCGGCCGGAGGTCCCGGGGCGGGAAAATGAGTCCCCGGAGTAGAGGGGCGGGCCCGCGGGCGGCGCAGGGCACCCCAGAAGCCGGGTGAGGCACGCGCCCTCCCCGCAGCCGAAGGCTCCGGGTCCTGGCCGGCCGCCCTCACGCTCCCCCATCTCCTCCCGCAGATTTGCTGCTGTCGGCCGAGGTGAGCGGCGGGGACCGCCTGGACTGTGTGAAAGCCAGCGACCAGTGCCTCAAGGAGCAGAGCTGCAGCACCAAGTACCGCACGCTGAGGCAGTGCGTGGCGGGCAAGGAGACCAACTTCAGCCTGACGTCCGGCCTGGAGGCCAAGGACGAGTGCCGCAGTGCCATGGAGGCCCTCAAGCAGAAGTCGCTCTACAACTGCCGCTGCAAGCGGGGTATGAAGAAGGAGAAGAACTGCCTGCGCATCTACTGGAGCATGTACCAGAGCCTGCAGGGTACGCGCCGACCGTCCTGGCCCTCCACCCCCAACCCTCACCCCCACCCCACAAAGGCAGGCGGCGGGCCCCTCAGCCGGGCCCGCTGACCTCATCCTCTCCTCGCTTCTCCCCAGCTGCAGAATGAGGACCTTTCATTGGCCCCCAGGGACAGGGGCAGCTGGTGTTTGCTGCCTCCGGAGCAGCACTGTGGGGGCCTGGTTGTTGGAAAACCCGTTGGGGGGGGACACCCCCGGCCCCCGCTGACCTCTCTGAAACCCGGTCAGAGAATCCGAGTAGGAGCCCGTTTAAGGACAGGGCAGGAACTCATAACTTCTCTCCAAGGAGAGCTTCAGAGGATAAGAATACAAAGACTTGCCCTGAATCGTGTCCGCAGTTTCTCCCCTTTCTTCTTCTCTTCTAGCTACTCTGACATAAGATAAAGAATTAAGAATAAAAGGTCCAGTAGGCTCTATTTTATCTTTACCCTCCTCAAACCTGATCAAAGGCAGATGTGTGAAAAACCATTTGTCGTCTTAGATTAGCTGAGTCTTGAACCAGCTGATGGGGTTCAGCCTTAGTTAACACGGAAGTGGCTTTGAGAGAAAAAGGACCACTTGTCACAAGCATCCATTCCAATGGGAATTTTTGGGTCCTTGTGTGCCAGAGGTGGCTGGTGTTTGTAAATCTAACACAGACGTCCAGGGCATTCATTCTCCCCTGAGACACCAAACATTTGTTAACATACAGATTTGACCTTTCTGCTGCCTCTTGCTCCAGAACCTATTACAGTGAAAACCTATTTCAGAGACTGTTGAATAACCAGCACCAGGGCTTTTCTGGCCCCATGCTGTGCTGAGGAGCATAGAAATGGGGGCCCTCTTTTGGGTCACCTTTCTTCCATTGGCTCCCGGAGGTAAGCTGGGCCGGTGACATCACTGGTTCCTTCCTCTCTTATTTCATTCCTTTGCAAAGAGTGGGAGAGTTTTCTGGCAAGATCAGGCTGGGTTGCTCTCCAGTGTTTTCATGGCACTCTGGGGAGAGGAAGGACAACAAAGGCAGAGGGAATGCAAAATAACCATAGCCAAATAGATGCATTTGAGACCTTGGAAAGTTTCGGCATCTTTTTGTTACACAATCATAACATCATTAGAATTTAGATTCAGTAAAAAAAAAAAAAAAAAGAAAGAAAGAAAAGAAAACCACTCTGAAATATGTCTGCTTTCCGATCTAAGCCCCATCTTCCTGTTGTTTTTAGGAAATGATCTGCTCGAAGATTCCCCTTACGAGCCAGTTAACAGCAGATTGTCTGACATATTCCGGGTGGTCCCATTCATACCAGGTAAGCAGATTCATGCCTCCACTCGGACGCCTTTGCCTGCTTGAAATCCATCGGGTTGCGTTCTCTCTGGCTCTCAGAGAGTGTCTAAGTAGATAGTTGAATGGCACAGCGTTTCTGGGAAATCAGAAATAGGATGATGATAATGAAGAGGCAGAATGCCTAGAGATGATTGTATGACTTGAAAGTAATTCTAAATGAAGTAATGTGGTGTGGTGATTTGAAAGAGGTTGGAGGGAGGTGACTCGGTTGAATTTTTTTTTCCACATTGAAATATGATTGGCTAGCTTATGCATAGGGACTTCTGTCTGTAGATGGCAATCATACTCCCTTCTTGCTACATACCATTCACAGAGCCTCCCTGCAGATGGGATCTGTGTCAATGATGCCACTTACTTTCTGAGACTTCTGAAGATAATCTTAGATTGTTGAGGAATTTCGGATGGACTCACTTGTCTGCCTTTGATTGAAAAGGTTCAGCTCTACCATTTGTTAACAATTCTATTTTTAATTTGTCCTAAGCAAGTGTGTGCATGTATCAGAGAAGGTATTATAGCCTCATTGGCCCTTTTCAAAGTGGTTTTGCTTCCCTTGGTTTGTTTTATCTGTCTTTGCAATTCTACATTTGTTTTGGAAGTGAACTTAGTTTCAGAATTAAGGTTTTTGTAACACTGGGGTTCAGGCAGCCCCATAAATAATGAGCAAGGCAGTAATTTCTCTTAATGACATACAGATTCCAGACTGATGTTGTCTTTATTTGTTTACACTTAAGACATTTCCTCAAGTATATACAGCCATCACAAATGATACGCTTCGTTGGCGGTTGTACGTGGTGGTGAATGTTGAATTCTGGGAGATGATGGTTTGTTATGGGTGAGAGTGTTCTGGTGTTCTCAATGTTTTCTGTTTTCCTGCAGAAACCCATAGAACTAAGGGAGTATGTAAATACTGATATTATGTGTCGGTGTATTTATATACATTTCATTCACTCACAAACACCCATTGAGTACCCACTACGTTCCAGCCATTGGGATTTTGTCAGTAAGCCAGACAGATGTCGCCTCTGCCCTCATGAATCTCAGAGACAGCCAGCAACTGCATTTATTTAAGCCCCTATTATATTCTAGGCACTGTGTTAAGAACTTTTTTAAAAAAAGATTTTATTTATTACTTATTTGAGAGAGAGAGAGAGCGTGCAGGGGAAGAGCAGAAGGAGAGGGACAAGCAGACTCTGCACTGAGCATGGAGCCCCATGTGGGGCTCCATTTCAAGATCCCAAGGTCACGATTTCAGTGGAAATCACAAGTCAGTTACTTAACTGACTGAGCCACCCAGGCGCCCCTGTGTTAACTTTTTATCATTAACTTAGATAACAATCTTCGTATGCTTCTGAGGTATTATTGTTTCCATGTTAGGAATGAAGCAGTGTGAAGTTAGGAAACCAGTCAGATCACAAAGCTCGTGATTAAGGAAACCAGAATTTAAACCCAGATTTGTTTGATTCTAAGTGTTTGTGACATCCACCCCTTGCTACCCAGAATGTGGTCTTTTCAGCAGTGTCATGGACATCACCTGGGAGATGGTTACAGGTGTGGAATCTCAGGCTTCATCCCAGACCTACTGAATCAGAATTTATGTTTTAAGAAGACCACTGGTCTGGGTGCTTGATATACACATGAAGCCTGAGAAGCATTCCTCTACATTATTCTGTTTTTGGTTCAGAGGAGGGGTGTGTGTGTGTGTGTGTGTGTGTGTGTGTTGGGCTAAGATGTGTGTTTTGGGATAAGATATACTTGTGTAAGTTTAGTATCAGAGGCATTCATATATTATCCAAATAATGCTGATAATTTCCACTCCAGAGCCCTCCTAATGCTCCCTCCCTGTCCTTGGACCAGCTGGGGCAGTGTCTCACATACTGAAGGAAAAATGCACAGACCCATCTGAGCTCTTTCAGGGGCGGGTCCCTAGGAGCTGGGATGGGATGTGGTCCATGGCATATCAGAAGTGAACCTGGCCTTCCTGATGCTTGAAGGGCAGTGCCTCTTGCCTGCTGCCTGTCCCTGGAAGCCTTACTCTTTAGTCTTTGTCCAGATGCTTAGAGGGCTCTGAGCCTTTCTCTGGACAGTGAGAGTGAGGACGCAGGCAAGGAGGAAGGCTCATTTGAGTTTTAATTTCAGAACTTCTGTGGACTATAGGACTGCATCAGACTCATTTTCCCTTTCTGGTGCTCTCTTTTCTTGGTATAATGAGACCATGGGTATAAATAATCTCTAGTCCTAACAGCTCATGATTCTGAGGGAAGATTGAGGTCACCTCCAGAACCCATTCACTGTGCTCTTCAATTGTGTTTTCAATCCTTGCACGCATTCTATGGTTAAAATGGCTTGGTCATTCTCAGATACCCCGGGTTGTCTGAATTTCTTCTATAAGTACCAGGAATTCTTCTGCATATGGGCCAAGTTTCACTCATTCATTTTCCTGGATCCCTTTCTCAGCCAGACTTCTTTTCTTAGCAGATATGACCCCGACTTTGTGAGACCTGTCCTGCTGAGAACCCAGAAGTCATAATGAATTAATTAGAGCCAGGAAGGCATTGTCTGGAGCTACATTTTATCTCTCAAGGGGATTGAATTTAGGTTCCAGCACTAATGAGCTTTGACCTCTGACAGTGACCGTGTTCCCTAAGTGGGTATAGGAAAGCCAAATGGAACCTCAAGAGGTTTTAAGTCATTGAGTAATGCATATTATCCAGTTTGGCATTTGTAGGGTAGGGAAGGACAGAGGAGCAGGATGATAAATGTTGCTTTTTGTGGTTTGATTCTAAGTTTCTAGAACATCTCCCCTGTCTTGAAAATCTCTCTGAGGAAACCAGGACAACAGGGCCTCTGCCTTTTACAGATATGGTAGCAATCAGAGTTTCCATATTTGGGTTTCTTTGCCCAATGTGAAGTGAATGTTTATCCACATACATTAAGTATGAGCTGAATCGTCTCACTGAACAAGACATGTTTGACATTCTCGTGTTTCCATTTTCTTTGGACTCCTCAAAGCCACTGCCATCTTTGCCATTGTTTAGTTGATCAGCAGTTAAAAAGCCATATTGAGGTGCTGTCAGGGGCCTGGCAGGAACAAGGAAGGGAACAAAAATGAGATGGAGTCTCAAACCTGTCACCTCTGTTCTGAAGCCTGAGCTGCAGGAAGGAAATCAAACAGCCTTGTCAGGCGAGAATTGGGGAATTGTGGTGCCGCAGCCTCAGTGGAAATGTGTCGGTGGAAGCATTTGGCCTTGAAATCAGTTTTAAGGGCTCCAGGAGGGGCCTTCGTTGTGAGTTGATGCCAGTGTCGTTTTTTTTTTTTTTTTAAGATTTTATTTATTTATTTGACAGACAGAGATCACAAGTAGGCAGAGAGGCAGGCGGGGTGGGGGGGGAAGCAGGCTCCCCGCTGAGCAGAAAGCCCGATGTGGGGCTCGATCCCAGGACCCTGGGATCATGACCTGAGCCGAAGGCAGAGGCTTTAACCCACTGAGCCGCCCAGGCGCCCCGCCAGTGTCGTTTTTAGGGGTCTCAAAGAGCAAGATCCAGGCGGTGAGTGGAAGTATGCAAAGGAAAGAGGGAGCCAGTGCTAGAGGATGTCCGAGGAGAGGAGAGAACATGGAAAAGGGTCTGGGGAGCCAAGAGGGCAGAGCTGTGTGGGCACATGGAGGCTCCGAGGATAAAGCCACCACATCTATTTCACATCTGCCATGACTCTCTGCTCTTTAACCTTGCCTTTTCCTCTTTGTGCAGGTTCTAGAAGCAGCAAGAAGTAAATAGTGATTTGAAAGGGAGACGAAACTGTTGGCCATGTTTTTTGGACTCTCTGGAGGGAGAGTGCAAAGTAGAAAGAAATTTTGAAAGCACAGCGGGTGCCAAGAAGAACCTGAGGGTAGGGGGTCAGAGGAGGATATAAGCACCTTATAAGGATGTAAGCAATGAGGGAAAAAAGAGGGCTCCAGGGTTTAAAAGTATTGACTGGGAGGTTGGATTTTGTAGAGAAGTGTCAAGAGAGGCCAGACCTTTCTCAAAAATAACCGGAGCCGATGGTATGGCAAACAAGAAGCAGTAGGGATGTGGGGAAAGAGGGATATTAGGATACTAGGAATGGCTTAGACCTCCCCAAGAAGCCTTAGGATCTTGACATCGGTTCTCGTGCAGTTGGAAATAGTTTGCTTCAGGAGGAGATGCCCCTGAACACTCTTTTGAGTGTGACCCCTTTTTCTGAATGATGCTGTGAATCATTAGCCATGTGTAGCACTTCCATTTTAATGTGCCATCGTACTTAGGTCACTATGCAAAAAAAAAAAAAAAAAAAAAGCTTTCTTAAAAATTTTACATGTTGAAGAAGACTGATAAGGTCCTGTTGGACAAGAGAGAGAAGGGTTGGTAAATTCCAGCTGCTGGGGTGTGTAGTGGTCCTTTGCCTTCCACTCAGCTCTCCAAAACCCCTCTAATCATGTTGTCCCAATAGGTGAGAAACCCTATTGGTCCCTTGTTCCCTATTCTGGCATATGGGAAACTCCTCCCCAGGCTGGCTCACTCCCATCATCCTTCTCTAAGCCCCATCACCCCCTGTTCCCTCAAGCTCATTGAGCATTCCATTTCCCAAGCATTTCACATGTCTTTGCCTTCCTGTGCCTTCTTTGCTCATGCTCTTGCCTGTGATGGGGAAGTCGCTGTTAGTTTCCCGAGACCAGGATCCATTTTCCTCTCTGGGGGCCATGCTGGAATTCCCCCGGACAGGCACTTCTGCTCAAGACACTTTCGTGCTGCAATTTTGTTCTTGTCTTCACGACAGCTTCTGATCACGGGGTATCGAGGGGTCTTATGTATGTGTCTGTCTTTCCCACTGGAAAGTTGGGGGACCTGCTTGCTATGCAGGGTGTATGCTCAGCCTGGAGCCTTCTTCCTGGTTCTGAGTAGTCATCCCATTAACCATGGGTGTTTGAATATCAGAGAAGGGTC